ACCGGGTGAAGGAATAGGGAGGAACCCCATAGAGGACCACCCTGTGAGGAGGAAAAAGAAGAGGGAGTAACCCCATAGAAGACCACCCTGTGAAGAGGAAATAGAATAGAGAGGAGCCCCATAGAGGGACCACCCTGTGAGCAGGAAATAGAGGGAGTAACCCCATAGAGGACCACCCTGTGAGCAGGAAATAGAATAGAGAGGAGCCCCATAGAGGGACCACCCTGTGAGCAGGAAATAGAGGGAGTAACCCCATAGTGGACCACCCTATGAGGAGGAAATAGAATAGAGAGGAGCCCCATAGAGGACCACCCTGTGAGGAGGAAATAGAATAGAGAGGAGCCCCATAGAGGACCACCCTGTGAGGAGGAAATAGAATAGAGAGGAGCCCCATAGAGGGACCACCCTGTGAGCAGGAAATGGAGGGAGTAACCCCATAGAAGACCACCCTGTGAGGAGGAAATAGAATAGAGAGGAACCCCATAGAGGACCACCCTGTGAGGAGGAAATAGAATAGAGAGGAGCCCCATAGAGGGACCACCCTCTGAGCAGGAAATGGAGGGAGTAACCCCATAGAAGACCACCCTGTGAGGAGGAAAAAGAATAGAGAGGAACCCCATAGAGGACCACCCTGTGAGGAGGAAATAGAATAGAGAGGAGCCCCATAGAGGGACCACCCTGTGAGGAGGAAATAGAAGAGGGAGGAACCCCATAGAGGGACCACCCTATGAGGAGGAAATAGAAGAGGGAGGAACCCCATAGAGGGACCGCCCTGTGAGGAAATAGAATAGAGAGGAGCCCCATAGAGGACCACCCTGTGAGGAAATAGAATAGAGAGGAGCCCCATAGAGGACCACCCTGTGAGGAGGAAATAGAATAGAGAGGAGCCCCATAGAGGACCACCCTGTGAGGAGGAAATAGAATAGAGAGGAGCCCCATAGAGGACCACCCTGTGAGGAAATAGAATAGAGAGGAGCCCCATAGAGGACCACCCTGTGAGGAGGAAATAGAATAGAGAGGAACCCCATAGAGGGACCACCCTCTGAGCAGGAAATGGAGGGAGTAAACCCATAGAGGACCACCCTGTGAGGAGGAAATAGAATAGAGAGGAGCTCCATAGAGGGACCACCCTGTGAGCAGGAAATGGAGGGAGTAACCCCATAGTGGACCACCCTGTGAGGAGGAAAAAGAAGAGGGAGTAACCCCATAGAAGACCACCCTGTGAGGAGGAAATAGAACAGAGAGGAGCCCCATAGAGGACCACCCTGTGAGGAGGAAATAGAATAGAGAGGAGCTCCATAGAGGGACCACCCTGTGAGCAGGAAATGGAGGGAGGAACACCATAGAAGACCACCCTGTGAGGAGGAAAAAGAAGAGGGAGGAACTCCATAGAGGGACCAACCTGTGAGGAGGAAATAGAAGAGGGAGGAACCCCATAGAGGACCACCCTGTGAGGAGGAAATAGAATAGAGAGGAGCCCCATAGAGGACCACCCTGTGAGGAGGAAATAGAATAGAGAGGAACCCCATAGAGGGACCGCCCTGTGAGGAGGAAATAGAAGAGGGAGGAACCCCATAGAGGGACCACCCTATATGAGGAGGAAATAGAAGAGTGAGGAACCCCATAGAGGGACCACCCTATGAGGAGGAAATAGAAGAGGGAGGCACCTAATAGAGGGACCACCCTGTGAGGAGGAAAAAGAAGAGGGAGGCACCCCATAGAGGGACCGACCTGTGAGGAGGAAATAGAAGAGGGAGGCACCCCATAGAGGGACCGCCCTGTGAGGAGGAAATAGAAGAGGGAGGCACCCCATAGAGGGACCGCCCTGTGAGGAGGAAAAAGAAGAGGGAGGAACCCCATAGAGGGACCACCCTATGAGGAAGAAATAGAAGAGGGAGGCACCGCCCTGTGAGGAGGAAATAGAAGAGGGAGGTACCTAATAGAGGGACCACCCTGTGGGGAGGAGGAAATAGAAGAGGGAGGAACCCCATAGAGGACCGCCCTGTGAGGAGGAAATAGAAGAGGGAGGCACCCCATAGAGGGACCACCCTATGAGGAGGAAATAGAAGAGGGAGGAACCCCATAGAGGGACCGCCCTGTGAGGAGGAAATAGAAGAGGGAGGCACCCCATAGAGGGACCGCCCTGTGAGGAGGAAAAAGAAGAGGGAGGAACCCCATAGAGGGACCGCCCTGTGAGGAGGAAATAGAAGAGGGAGGCACCCCATAGAGGGACCGCCCTGTGAGGAGGAAAAAGAAGAGGGAGGAACCCCATAGAGGGACCGCCCTGTGAGGAAGAAATAGAAGAGGGAGGCACTGCCCTGTGAGGAGGAAATAGAAGAGGGAGGCACCTAATAGAGGGACCACCCTTTGGGGAGGAAATAGAAGAGGGAGGAACCCCATAGAGGACCGCCCTGTGAGGAGGAAATAGAAGAGGGAGGCACCCCATAGAGGGACCACCCTGTGAGGAGGAAATAGAAGAGGGAGGAACCCCATAGAGGGACCGCCCTGTGAGGAGGAAATAGAAGAGGGAGGCACCTAATAGAGGGACCACCCTGTGAGGAGGAAAAAAGAAGAGGGAGGAACCCCATAGAGGGACCGCCCTGTGAGGAGGAAATAGAAGAGGGAGGCACCCCATAGAGGGACCACCCTATGAGGAATAAATAGAAGAGGGAGGCACCGCCCTGTGAGGAGGAAATAGAGGAGGGAGGCACCTAATAGAGGGACCACCCTGTGAGGAGGAAATAGAAGAGGGAGGAACCCCATAGAGGACCGCCCTGTGAGGAGGAAATAGAAGAGGGAGGCACCCCATAGAGGGACCACACTATGAGGAGGAAATAGAAGAGGGAGGCACCTAATAGAGGGACCACCCTGTGAGGAGGAAAAAGAAGAGGGAGGAACCCCATAGAGGGACCGCCCTGTGAGGAGAAATAGAAGAGGGAGGCACCCCATAGAGGGACCGCCCTGTGAGGAGGAAATAGAAGAGGGAGGAACCCCATAGAGGGACCACCCTGTGAGGAGGAAAAAGAAGTAGAGTCAGAAAAGCTTTGTACATATGTCTCCTTACAGCCCTGGTTCACACGGAATAGGACTTTGGAATTGTGGGACTTCACCGGAAATCGCATCATTTCAAAGTCGCATGTCAGAGCAACTTGTATAGCAATGAAAGGAGCACCAGAAATCGGCAAGTAGTGCAGGAACAAATCAAAGTCGGCAAGTAGTGCAGGAACAATTCCGTCATATTGGCAACACATCACTAGACAAACCAACCTGCTTGTAGATGAGACGAGTCAAGATGTTCATGATGAAGCCACCAAGCCGAGGATACATGCCGAGAGCCTGGATGACCGTCCTCATGAGCAGCATGGGCAGGGGCGTGGTGTCCATCAGTTGCTGGAGAACAACAGCCAACACCTCGGAGGTGTTACCTCGGAGGTGTAGACGGAGCGGGCAGCAAAACACAGATTGGTGGCTGGAAGAGGACAGAAACCTCCATCAATGTGAAAGAAGAAGAAGGAGGAGAGCAAGTCAAAGATTCCAGAGCTTACCCTTAATGACAGACTTCATGTCACATTTACTGGAGTCAATATTATGGAGAGCCACAAGGAGATCTCCGGGGGTGAGAGGAGACATGGAGGACGTCACATCACCTGAGGAAGAAAAAGACACATAATGAGCCAATCATACCAGGCCAGGGCCTACTCTACGGAGGCCGATGCCGAGCCTGCTGATATACGGAGGCCGACGCCGAGCCAGGGCCTGCTGATATACGGAGGCCGACGCCGAGCCAGGGCCTGCTGACATACGGAGGCCGACGCCGAGCCACGGCCTGCTGACATACGGAGGCCGACGCCGAGCCACGGCCTGCTGACATACGGAGGCCGACGCCGAGCCACGGCCTGCTGACATACGGAGGCCGACGCCGAGCCACGGCCTGCTGACATACGGAGGCCGACGCCGAGCCACGGCCTGCTGACATACGGAGGCCGACGCCGAGCCAGGGCCTGCTGACATACGGAGGCCGACGCCGAGCCACGGCCTGCTGACATACGGAGGCCGACGCCGAGCCACGGCCTGCTGACATACGGAGGCCGACGCCGAGCCACGGCCTGCTGACATACGGAGGCCGACGCCGAGCCACGGCCTGCTGACATACGGAGGCCGACGCCGAGCCACGGCCTGCTGACATACGGAGGCCGACGCCGAGCCACGGCCTGCTGACATACGGAGGCCGACATGGAGCCAATACCAAATATATGAATGGTACTATGGTGTATCTGACACCAGGCCACTCCAAACTATAGGAGCTGTGATATGGGACCACCACAGACTATAAAAGGTAAATAATAGGGAAGTCCTGAACATGTCATCGCTGTAGAGCCACAATGGACTACAAGGGCTGACGTGAGCACAGACTACATTGGCACATTTAGCCCTCCGTTCGCCTCTTACCATGCTGGGTGCCCAGGAGGCGGTTAAATACTTCCTTCACAACTATTGGGTTCAGTTTGATGAGTTTCGGCAAAGCCTGGATTACCTCTTTCTAGAAAAAGAAGAAATGTATAAACAGACTGTCCCTGTGACACAAAGATCATAAAAATTACAAAATGCCAAATACGACCTCAGGAGAAACAAAGGTGTGAATGGGCAGCACAGAGGATTAGTGGTTGGATCTTCTACCTGGTAGCACCGGGGGCATCAGGCCCAACCACACTACCTGCATGGAGTTTGCATGTTTTACCTGTGTGGGTTTCCTCCCGGTACTCCAGTTTCCTCCCCCCCACCCCCTTCCAGAGGAACTCAACACCTCCACATACCTACTATAGGAAGCCAGTACCCCTATGAACCCTACCAGAGGTATCCATTACCCACTACCAGAGGAACACAAACACCCCCCAAGTACCCTACCATAGGAACTTGACACCCCCAAGTACCCTACCACAGGAACTTGACACCCCCAAGTACCCTACCATAGGAAACCAAACACCCCCAAGTACCCTACCACAGGAACTTGACACCCCCAAGTACCCTACCATAGGAAACCAAACACCCCCAAGTACCCTACCATAGGAACTTGACACCCCCAAGTACCCTACCATAGGAAACCAAACACCCCCAAGTACCCTACCACAGGAACTTGACACCCCCAAGTACCCTACCATAGGAAACCAAACACCCCCAAAGTACCCTACCACAGGAACTTGACACCCCCCTACACCCATCACTATTTCTCATCCACTTAAAAGAAAGAGGGCCTATGTGCATATGAAAGAGGTTAGATGGAGAAGAGCTATCAGTGTCTTTATCTCTCTAGAATGTAGAGAACCAGCAAACTCCATGTTCCAGAACAACCAACAAGGCGGCATTCCAGACGCACAGCCTACCTTATCCAGACCGTTCAGCACTGGGATCAGGAAACGGACATCTGGGAGACGCTTCTGATAGAGGTCGCGTACGCGTTTCACTAGTTCAGGAGATGGCGGCACTAGTTTAAAAGGTAAAAAAAATATATATTCACTCCCATCTGATATCAATACAATGGCCAAGGAATGGACGGTTCTAATTGAGGCTGGCCATACAAAGATGGAAATGTGTTCATCGGTCAGTGTGTGTGCCACCCCTCAACAGAAGCCCAACGTTTCACTACTTCACCTTTGGAGCAATGCTTCCCTCTTACACACACGCACACACGCACACACGCACACGCACGCACACACGCATGCACACACGCATTAAATTCTAAAAAAAATAACCAAAAAATTTAATTTTATTGCTTACAGAATCCTAAATGTTAGATACAAGATAGAGGAGGTAGAATAGATACCAAAAGTGCGTGAGGAAACGTCTTCCCGTTGCGGGGAGGGGCAGGAAACGTCTTCCCGTTGCGGGGAGGGGCAGGAAACGTCTTCCCGTTGCGGGAGGGGCAGGAAACGTCTTCCCGTTGCGGGGAGGGGCAGGAAACGTCTTCCCGTTGCGGGGAGGGGCAGGAAACGTCTTCCCGTTGCGGGGAGGGGCAGGAAACGTCTTCCCGTTGCGGGGAGGGGCAGGAAACGTCTTCCCGTTGCGGGGAGGGGCAGGAAACGTCTTCCCGTTGCGGGGAGGGGCAGGAAACGTCTTCCCGTTGCGGGGAGGGGCAGGAAACGTCTTCCCGTTGCGGGGAGGGGCAGGAAACGTCTTCCCCGTTGCGGGGAGGGGCAGGAAACGTCTTCCCGTTGCGGGGAGGGGGGCAGGAAAACGTCTTCCCGTTGCGGGGAGGGGCAGGAAACGTCTTCCCGTTGCGGGGGAGGGGCAGGAAACGTCTTCCCGTTGCGGGGAGGGGCAGGAAACGTCTTCCCGTTGCGGGGAGGGGCAGGAAACGTCTTCCCGTTGCGGGGAGGGGCAGGAAACGTCTTCCCGTTGCGGGGAGGGGCAGGAAACGTCTTCCCGTTGCGGGGGGAGGGGCAGGAAACGTCTTCCCGTTGCGGGGAGGGGCAGGAAACGTCTTCCCGTTGCGGGGAGGGGCAGGAAACGTCTTCCCGTTGCGGGGAGGGGCAGGAAACGTCTTCCCGTTGCGGGGGGAGGGGCAGGAAACGTCTTCCCCGTTGCGGGGAGGGGCAGGAAACGTCTTCCCGTTGCGGGGAGGGGCAGGAAACGTCTTCCCGTTGCGGGGAGGGGCAGGAAACGTCTTCCCGTTGCGGGGAGGGGCAGGAAACGTCTTCCCGTTGCGGGGAGGGGCAGGAAACGTCTTCCCGTTGCGGGGAGGGGCAGGAAACGTCTTCCCGTTGCGGGGAGGGGCAGGAAACGTCTTCCCGTTGCGGGGAGGGGCAGGAAACGTCTTCCCGTTGCGGGGAGGGGCAGGAAACGTCTTCCCGTTGCGGGGAGGGGCAGGAAACGTCTTCCCGTTGCGGGGAGGGGCAGGAAACGTCTTCCCGTTGCGGGGAGGGGCAGGAAACGTCTTCCCGTTGCGGGGAGGGGCAGGAAACGTCTTCCCGTTGCGGGGAGGGGCAGGAAACGTCTTCCCGTTTGCTGGGAGGGGCAGGAAACGTCTTCCCGTTGCGGGGAGGGGCAGGAAACGTCTTCCCGTTGCGGGGAGGGGCAGGAAACGTCTTCCCGTTGCGGGGAGGGGCAGGAAACGTCTTCCCGTTGCGGGGGAGGGGCAGGAAACGTCTTCCCGTTGCGGGGAGGGGCAGGAAACGTCTTCCCGTTGCGGGGAGGGGCAGGAAACGTCTTCCCGTTGCGGGGAGGGGCAGGAAACGTCTTCCCCCGTTGCGGGAGGGGCAGGAAACGTCTTCCCGTTGCGGGGAGGGGCAGGAAACGTCTTCCCGTTGCGGGGAGGGGCAGGAAACGTCTTCCCGTTGCGGGGAGGGGCAGGAAACGTCTTCCCGTTGCGGGGAGGGGCAGGAAACGTCTTCCCCGTTGCGGGGAGGGGCAGGAAACGTCTTCCCGTTGCGGGGAGGGGCAGGAAACGTCTTCCCGTTGCGGGGAGGGGCAGGAAACGTCTTCCCGTTGCGGGGAGGGGCAGGAAACGTCTTCCCGTTGCGGGGAGGGGCAGGAAACGTCTTCCCGTTGCGGGGAGGGGCAGGCAACGTCTTCCCGTTGCGGGGAGGGGCAGGCAACGTCTTCCCGTTGCGGGGAGGGGCAGGAAACGTCTTCCCGTTGCGGGGAGGGGCAGGAAACGTCTTCCCGTTGCGGGGAGGGGCAGGAAACGTCTTCCCGTTGCGGGGAGGGGCAGGAAACGTCTTCCCGTTGCGGGGAGGGGCAGGAAACGTCTTCCCGTTGCGGGGAGGGGCAGGAAACGTCTTCCCGTTGGCCCGTTGGGCCGATAACGTGTGGCACCATCGCTGTCTACATACATATGGCCACCCTGCGTGCGCTACTGGAGATCACACAAAGCAATGTCACTCCAAGCCGTGGGTATGTCCCTCCTCTGGGGTCCCGAAATGTGCCCGGGAGCTCGTCCTGCGCCATACCACACAAGTACTGATGACATCAAACCAGATCGTTTATTCAATCAAGTTGGATCCACAGTCCCTACCCAACCCCCACTGACGCATTTCATCCCCTATTGGGCTTAGTTGTAGTTTGTTTCAGCGTTTGCATTGGGGGGGGGGTAGTGCAGGGGGACGGTTTTCATTTATTGTTGTTATGTATTTTATTATAATTGTACTTTTTTTATTTACGTTTATTGCAATCACAAAGAGGCCAGCAAGGCTCTATGTGACAGCAATGAGCAGGTGACAGGTCCTCTTTATGGGGCCACAAGGTCTATTGGACCCTCAATGTCTCACCAGCTGACCGAGCGCAGGATTGCACGCACGGTATTCAGGCAGGGATTCCGACAGCTCTGAGCTGGAAGTGCGCAGAGCTCCTCCAGTCCATAGTACCAGAGAGGAGATTGGGGGATGGATCTCTTCCCACTCCACAGCCTGACCTGTTGTGGTCCTGGGCTCCAAGGAGGAGTGGGAGAGCCTGGGCACCACCAGCAATGGGGGGCACCACCAGCAATGGGGGGCAGCACTCACCGGTCGGGTGGCTCCACAGCTGACCAATTCACATGTAGCTGGAAGTCCAGAGCCGGCCGATAAAAAAAAAATCAAACTGCCAATTCCACATCCATGAACTGGACGGTTCAGCATTTTCCATTGATCACAACTCAAATCCAGTGAATGGAGAATTCCTCCATTCACTTCCACGATGTGACGGACAGCGTATGGCCACCTTCATTAGAAGAGATCTTCCTCCATCCAATGGAGGACAGAGAACAGGCAGCACTGAGATCATCTCTCGGAATCACCTTTATCGGTCAGGATGTGCAGGCAGCGGGTGACCAGAGTCTCGGCACCTTTGGGGCAATTCTCCACCAATAGAAGCAGCTCAGGAGAGTTCATTCCCATTCCCCGAATCTGCAAAGACAGGATTGGACATATAATTCCTTCATATTCATCCAAAATATTACTCTACCAAGCCCCTCCCCTCACCCAGAATCCATTGCTTTGAAGAGACCCTGTCCCCAAATTGGAAAACTACAGATAAAAGCAGAGATTGCAAGTATTGTAAATTCTTTCTTGGATTTTGCTGACTTTGTGCCTTCCAAATAGTAAGTTGACTACTTTAGGAAGTCATTTCCCCAGAACCGCCCCTCCCGCCTTACACATCATAGCTCTTTTCTTCTGGGTTTCCTACTACTATCTGTACCGGCCCAGCTCCTCTGCCCCTCCCCTCATGTATTTCATGTAGAAGCCACGGGGAGAAGAGATGGGGAATAGTACAGAGTGTCCATTGTCTGCTGGGATTGCTGACATCACATCCAAGATGGCGGTGCCCAGCATCAGTCTCAGGGCAGTTGGATGTCTACACAATGGAGGCTTGTCCAGGTAAACACCATGAATACATTAAACACACAGATTGTATCAGAGGATTGTAGGTGAGTGTCTAACAGAAGGGTCCCTAACAGCACTGGAGCTCCCTCTGGGCACAGCCCCGCCTTTACCGGTGTTTCGATGACCCTCAGCACCGTCCTCTTGATGTCTGCTGTGGCCTCAGTGTAGACAGAGGCCAATTCATGGATCAGCTTGTGGTTATGGGGGAGCAGAGCCAGATAGAGATATAAACAGTGCTTTCACGGTGTCTTCAGTCCAGGGGGCCGCCACCTCTGAGAGGACAGACATGTCAGGCATAAGACTCCAGAACTCTACAGGACTGAACTAGGCAGACAACAAAGTACCCCACCTGTGTCCTTATCTGCCCCAAACAGCACTGATGGGGGATTGGGGTGAGCCAGAAGCTGCAGGTAATTCAGGGCAAACTTCTCAATGTACTGATGAAGAGCCTCCTTCTCATACATCCTCTTAATAAGGTTCAGAGCCTGCTGACGGACCTGAGAAGACAAGGAATGGACAGTGACAACAGGAGGCTGAAAGAACCGGACTGGTCCACTTAGCACCCACCTACCTTGTCCTTCTCGTGGGAGCTCAGGTCCAGAAGAAGATGCAGGTACTGGAACTGCCGGGCAGGCCGAGTCAGAATTAGATCGCGCAATGTTGACATCCCCAGATAAGTCCCGGCCCTGTGAGGTGACAACCCAAGACTCAATTCCATGACAGCAGTCACATGACATCACCATCTACCATCCATAGTGACTGAGCCAACCGCCATCACACAACACCCCTTCAGCCCTCCTCACCCAATGAGCTCGCCAATTCTAGGGAAGGGTCTTCCTTCCAGACAGAGGTACTCCTAATACCGGATCGGGGGGGGGGGGGGGGGGACAATAAATGGGCCACACAGGAGGGTCCTTACCTCGTCCTCACAGTATTTCCGGATGACTTCCAGAGCAGAATCTGTCAGCAGGGGAGCCTCCAGGACAACCTTCGTGAAGACTCTACAGGAAAGAATCCAAGTCAGAGGAAGGAACTATGTAATGGCCAAAAAGATCACCAACAACCTTCCGAACCACCCCCCCCGTCCCCTACCGCCACCATTCATCATCATCACCAACAACCCTCAAAACCACCCCACCCCCTACCCGCCACCATTCCCCCCCCCAATAATACCCAACACCCCCATCATCACCACCACCACCACAACCCAACAGAATCACCCCACCCCACCATACCATCCCCCCCCAAAAATCAACAACACCAACACACCCCCATCATCATCCACCAACAACCCTCAAACCCCCCCCCCCCCCACCACCCCCCCCCCCCCCCCCCCCCCCAATAATCCCCAACACCCCCCCCCCCCCATCATAATTCAACCCCCCAACAACCCTCAGAACCACCCCACCCCCCCCCATCATCATAGTCATCATCACCACCAACAACCCTCAACGACAACCACCCCCCCCCCCCCCCCCCCCCCAATAACCACCAACAACCCATCATCATAATCAATCATCCTCACACCACCAACAACCCTCAGAACCACCCCACCCCCTACCATCACCACCATCCCCCCCCCTAATAATCACCAACACCCCCATCATCACACCCCAAACCCCCAACCCCCACCCCACCACCCCCACCACCCTCCCACCACCACCACACTCCCCCCCCAATAATCACCAACAATCATCTCCACCAACAACCCTCAGAACCCTACCCCCCCCCCTAATAATCACCAACAACACCCCCATCATCATCACCACCAACAACCCTCAAACCCCCCCCCCACCACACCACCACCCCCCCCCCAAAAAAATCACCAACAATCATCACCAACAACCCTCAGAACCCCCCCTAATAATCACCAACACCCCCATCATCACCACCAACAACCCTCAAAACCACCCCACCCCCCCCTACCACCACTATCCCCCCCCCCCAATAAACCCCCGAATATCACCCCCATCATTCCCCACCAACCACCCTCAGAAACACCCACCACCACCACCATCCCCCCCCCCCCCCATCATCATAATCATCATCACCCACCACCAACCCTCAGAACCACCCAAATAATCACCATCACCACCTTCCCCCCCCCCCCCCCAAATAATACCAACACCCCCATCATCCCCCCCCTCACCATCACCAACCTCATTATCAAACCCCCCTCCTCCCCGTCACCAACAACCCTCAAAACCACCCCACTTCCCGTGAGACGGCTGGTGAATAGACGTGCACATGTGCACAGAAATGCACGATCACGCACGGTGAAGACTGGCGCCAGACGGACTATTTAAGAGGTGCCTCTGCCTGTGCTGAGTGCTGATTGGTCTTCAGCTGTTCCCTGTGTCCTGCTTGTTCCTGTGTGATTTCTTGTTGCTGACCCGGCTTGTTCCTGACCTGATTATGATTACTCTCCTGCTTGATACTGGTTCCTGACTTTGGCTTGTTTATGATGTGGTACCTCGCTGTCCGCCCGTTGATGACCCTGGCTATACCTTTGACATTGCTCCTGTCTCCCATCCCTGCTTCCTTCCTTGCTATGGCGGCCCACCATACCAACTCTGCATATTACTGCGGTGCCTGAATCGGAGGTTCATCAGTCTTCCAAAGTCTCCAACTGCAGGAGCTGCAAGCAACATCTGCTGGCGCTCTTGTCCCCTTGGTCCCTAGACTCCCTCTGTTCTACTTCCAGTGGGGTCAGGGCTAGTGACACAAGTGAGGCCGACCTCGTCATTTCAGTCTCCAATCAGGTACGTGACAGTACCAGTCAGCCAGTGATGGAGTCTGAAAGGGAGGCCTCTGCAATTGGGGACATCTGACAATCAATCTCTGCCTTGTCTTACTTGGTGCAGAGTTTGCAAAGAAACCTTGAGCCCATGGAAAACCAACTACCAACCAAGTCAGATGTCTCACCAGCCATGGGTCCTTCTGCAGTCTCAGACAAAACTACCCAGACAGAGCTCAGCATGATTCATGGAACGTCTCCACCAGAACCTCGGGTGCCAGTACCTGAGTCAGATATCTCACCAGCCATGGGTCCTTCTGCAGTCTCAGACAAAACTACCCAGACAGAGCTCAGCATGATTCATGGAACGTCTCCACCAGAACCTCGAGTGCCAGTACCTGAGTCAGATATCTCACCAGCCATGGGTCCTTCTGCAGTCTCAGACAAAACTACCCAGACAGAGCTCAGCATGATTCATGGAACGTCTCCACCAGAACCTCGGGTGCCAGTACCTGAGTCAGATATCTCACCAGCCATGGGTCCTTCTGCAGTCTCAGACAAAACTACCCAGACAGAGCTCAGCATGATTCATGGAACGTCTCCACCAGAACCTCGGGTGCCAGTACCTGAGTATTTCACGGGAGACCGCAGGAAGTTCCGAACCTTTCGCAATTCCTGTGAGCTATACTTTTCTCTGCTCCCAAGAACCTTTGCATCACAAGGCACCAGAGTGATATTCATTATTTCACTCCTTTAGAATGAACCCCAATCTTGGGCACACCACCTTCGTGAGCGACATGACCCAGCTCTGACTTCTACGCACTCGTTCTCCGCGATGTCACAACTTTACTCTGATCCCTTCCGTCATCAGACTGCAGAATCTATGCTTAGCAAGCTACAGCAAGGCCAAAGGCCTATTCGAGGAATATGTCACCGAGTTCCGTATATAGAGTTCCGACACTCAATGGAACGAGTCTGCTCTCCGCCATCAGTTTCACCTTGGTCTCTCTAACATCTTGAGAGATGAGCTTGCCCGAGTTGGGGTACCAACCAGGCTAGAGGACCTGATAAACCTTGCCAATCAAATTGACCGACAGCTCCGGGAAAGGCGGGGTGAAAGAACTAGCAGGTATGTCTTGATTTGCTCTGAAATAGAGACTCCTGTCCCTTCACCCACTGCTGTCGCATCAGACATACTCTCCAGCAAAAGGGGGCTTCGTAATTCTCCTCATAGGAGCTTTTGGAGACCACCTCTATCCTCTACTGAACGTCTTCGATGACAAGACTCCAACCTCTGCCTCTACTGTGGTGATGCGGGTCACTATGTACAGACATTTCCAGTGAGACCTCCTAAGCCCTCTCCTAGCTGGTTCCATATGATGCACACACAAGGAACGAGTCAAACACACCTCCCCCTTCCTTCTTCACTTGCAACTTGCTGGAAGAACTATTTCTGTTTTAGCAATTATAGACTCTGGTGCCTGTAGATGTTTCATGGATTCTACCTTTGCTCATCAATACAATATCCCTCTGTGTACCAAGAAACAAAGATTTTCGGTCCATCTGGCTGATGGCTCTGGTATCAGTTCTGGCCCAGTGACGCAAGAGACTATGCCAATCTTCTGCCACTAATCCTCAGGACATCAGGAACGTCTACGTCTGGATGTCATAACCTCCCCAATGTTTCCGGTCATCCTCGGCATGCCCTGGCTAAGGGCGCACAACCCATCCATTAACTGGCTCTCCGGGAAATCCTCTTTTCTTCCAAATACTGTCAGAACCATTGCATTCCGAAGGAACCATGCGCAGTGACTCCTCCTCTTAGCATTCATCCTCATTCAGAGACGATGAAACTTGTCCCTGCTGTCTACCATGATTACTTGGGTGTATTCAACAAAAAGAGTGTCAATGCTCTTCCCCCGCTCCGGCCCTACGATTGTCCTATTTAACTCCTACCCGGTGCTGAGATCCCTTTTGGGCGAATTTACCCCTCTCTCCGAATTGGAACTAGAGGTCCTCCGGAATTACAAAGATGAAAGCCTGGAAAAAGGGTTTATTAGGCCCTCTACATCACCAGCAGGAGCTGGCATCTTCTTTGTCGAAAAGAAAGATCATGCTCTTAGACCATGTGTGGACTATCGTGATCTAAATAACCGTTATCCTCTTCCTTGATTCCCGAATTGTTCCAAAGGCTACGAGGGGCATGTGTCTTTTCAAAACTAGATCTGAGAGGTGCATACAATTTAGTCAGAATTCGTGAAGGGGATGAATGGAAGACGGCCTTTCGAACACGCTTTGGGCACTTTGAATACCTGGTGATGTCATTTGGCCTTTGTAATGCCCCAGCAACATTCCAACATTTCATTAATGATATATTCCAGGACTATCTTGATTTATTTATCATTGTCTATTTGGATGACATCCTCGTCTTCTCAAGCTCAATAGAACAACACCGGGACCATGTGAAGAAGATACTGGGTGGATTACACCAACATCACCGCGATGCCAAAGCTGAAAAGTGCGAATTTGAGAAACAGACCATTCAGTTCCTCGGACTTATGATTACTCCCGATGGCATTGCTATGGATCCTCAAAAAGTGACCTCTGTATTAGAGTGGCCCGTTCCAGGAGACAGGAAAGTGGTACAACGCTTTGTGGGATTTCAATAGGAAATTCATTAAGAACCTTTCAGGTATCATTGCACCAGTCACGCAGTTAACCAGGCAACATGTTGCCTTCAAATGGACTCCCGAGGCTCACGCAGCAGCTTTTGAGCAACTAAAGACCTTGTTCACCTCTGCTCCTATCCTGAAGCACCCAGATCCTGCCTTAACTTAGTGCTTCTGAAAATGCTGTGGAGCTATATTGTCGCAACGACAGGACCCCAAGTTCCCTCCTTCACCCCTG